AAATACTTATTGTTATCTTATCTACAGCCAGTTAGTTTTCTGAAGGAAACCTGCACAAGGCATACAGCAGTAAACAGCCCATCGTTCACTGCCTGAACAGTTTGTAAGAAATGTAGAATTTTTCCAAAGAGACAGATGGGGTCTGTTAATAGTTGTGTATAGCAAACAGAAAGTAACGGTTACACAAATATACTGATACTTTTCAGATTCAGAAACCTCACAGAAATAGCTGAAGCTAAAACTACTTTTAGATTGGTTTCTTGATGGAACAGTGGGTGAGACTCATCAGTTACCCATCAGTTGTTCTGCACTGCTACCTCCTTTTCACTTTTTAACTAATTGAAAAATTGCAGTGAAATAAAACTAAGAAAAAGAGACACTTAAAGTATTAAACTCCTGCAGGTTTTGTGAAAGTGAATGGTTAGGTCCACAAATAGAATCAAATCAGTAGTCTCTTGCCCAGTGTGTTGCCAAGTGACACAGGAGACAGTGGGAGGGAAGGGCAGGGAAGTGGGAGAGTTAAGGAAATTTGGTGGAAACTGAAGGGTAATAGGTCATATGGTATGAGAGGTGGCTTATTATAGGAAAGAGATGTAATACCATAGAACACAAATCCCCATATAAACACTGTTAATTAGAGTTCATGGAATACCTTGTTACCCATATTTCTCTCTGCCTATGTATCTATATCTTAGAATGGAAAAAACCCCATAGATAGTCCCTATTCCGTAATTTGTTATTGTTTATGTGAACTTTTTGGGCTTCTTTTTTTTTTAATTTGCCTAACTGTGAAACAGAATTTTTTTTGTTTGTTTTGTTCTGCTGTATAAGTCAATGCCTAATGTACACCACGCAGAGCAAACCTCTGCTATCCTTATTTGGACAATAGGTCTGCTGAAAGCAGTAAGATTCAGCATGACCAAAGCAATGATCATCTGTGGCTTTGTTTGCACTGTGTCCATTTCACATGCTCGGTTTGTTGGTCATCTTGCTGATAATGTCTTGCAGAAAAGCTTAAAGCTCAAGAATGGCCCCAATGATGTGACCTTTAGTGTTACAACACAGTATCAAGGCACTTGCCGCTGTGAAGGCACCATTTACCTATGGAACTGGGATGATAAAGTTGTTATTTCTGACATTGATGGAACAATTACACGGTGAGTTTATGAACAGGAAGAGGCTTTATCTGCAAGGAAAACTTGTTCTTGGGACTAAAGGGAAAAAGTAATTAACAGGGGATTTTGAGTTACAGAATCATCGTATCCTAGTGTTTGGGGGGTGTTTTACTTTGGCTTTCAAACAATGCAACAATCATTAGCTGAATTCTTAATTCCATAAATACATATGCCATATGTGCCCATAATTTGTCACCTATTGGTGTTTCATGATAGTATTTACAGTAGTATTGGAGGACCTTCTACAAAATCATAACCTTTTTGCTGCATCACACTTATGAACTACACTGGCTGCATTAAAAAGAAGAAACACATGAATTCTGTTTTACAAGGCATTACAGGGGAGTTCCAGTGAGAGGCATTATTATTTAGAAGACAAGACTCTGAAATCAATGCGAGAATTAGAATTTGATGGAAAGTTTCAGATCAGTATTTTGGGTAAATGCACAATTTTGGACTGACCAAAATGATTCACTCACTGATTTTTATTTATTTATTTAACACTGAGGAAAACAGTTATGTGTGGAACAGGGAAACACATAATAAAAATATAAGCATTTTCTTTTGACCTTTTAAAATGAAATGCTTAGATTTGTTTCAAAATCAATTTCTTTCAAAATCAAACTTAGCTATATTGAATTAGAAAAAAGAAGGAAAAATAATTTCCAAGACCAGTCTGGGGTGAATTAAAATGCTTACTTGAGAATGAAACTCTCTTCTTCCTTGTGATTTATCCGTTGTAGGGCAAACTTTTTTGTGGTGCCAACGTAAATTAATATTCCCCCTCCTTTGTTTTCTTAAGCTTCAGTAAAGCAAATGGGATCTATTCTCTCTGTTGTTGAACTGACCAGAGGGTTACTGAATCACTTCACCTTATAATACCATTGCAAATCCATCGTAGGTCACTGCCCAATGGTTTCTCTCTAAGATGCAAGATATTCAGGGTGTGGATTTCTTGCTGTGTATCTGTATAATGCTTAGTCAAGTGAGGTGCTCATTTGTTTGAATTTCTAGATATTGTTATAGTGTAAATAACCTTCTCTCATGTAAAGCGTGAAATACATTGCAACCAGTATAACTATTTCATAATACTTTATACGTGACCAACTGCTGGCTTTATGTGGACAAGGTAGTTTGAAGCAAGCTAGAGTGTCACTTCTCATGCTTGCAATTTCCCATAAACTTCCCGTATGGGTAGATTTGGGTTATTTAGAAAACATTTAGTTTAAACGTCAAAAAATATGCTTATTACTGGCTGGCCTACTACACAGGTCTGATGGATAGCCTATATGCTGTAACTTCCATGTTACCTTATGGGTCACGAGCTTATCCATGAAGACAAGTCCTGGGGCATAAGAGTAATTAAAACAACATGTCCAAGGATGGGTATGTCAGTCTATCTCAAAAGAAAGGGGAAGAAAATCATCTTCTTCTGATCGCAATCAGTACCTTACAGAAAACCTTATTTTCCTTTGCCGCTAGCTAAATAAGTTAGTGGGGTTTGTATTCGCCTCATCTATTATTGTAAGTATTGGGGTTTTTTTTTCAGTTCAATTATATTGTTTTTCCTTTATTCAGGTCAGATACTTTAGGTCATATTTTGCCTACTCTTGGCAAAGACTGGACACACCAAGGAATTGCAAAGTTGTACCATAAAGTGAGCCAGTGAGTATTCAGTAAATCTGTTCATGCATCTGTGGCTTGTTTGTGTTTATTCATTTGCACATAAAAATTAGAATTTCTCTAAGCTTCTCTTAACCTATAAGGGTGACAATTTTATCAATGTCATGTCACTTTAGTGATGTTGACACAGCGTAAACATCTGCTGTATGATATCCAGAGCAAAACCTGCTTTGTGATATCAAAAGCGAAAGCCCCCTACCAATGAGTAGTGATTGTTCTTCTAACCATTCCAAACAGATAGCTATGGTTAGTTCCAAAAACTGTCGTAATTTGAATGAATTGTACAGTTGCAGCAAGTGGAGCTTTTTTGCAAAGCTGGAGTTGCAAGAGCATTAATTCATAAGATGCTAATACACTTTCCCTTCTCTCCTTGTTGAGGAGATTGTGACTGTTTAGCCTAGGGTGGTCACTGTGGCTGGAGTTCTTGCCAAATTTGACTCAACCTGGAGTCACACAGGGATGAAATCTGAAGCACATGGGATGAATCTGTTTGGGGGAGTTCCCTCTCTTTCCAGTGAGTAGAAGGGAAGTTTAGTGAAAGGCTTCGACTTGAGCTCTCTAAACTTTAGGCTTCTAGTCAGGCAAGATAAATATCACCCCTAAAGCACAGCATGATGTCTTGAGTAGAAACAGACCCATTTTGGATACTCACTGCTAATATTCTTGTTGCTTTGTTTGTTGTATCAGTAATGATGAGCTTCAAAGGCATTGATGATGATCTTTGCTACTGATGATTACACAATTTATTTTGTTATTTCTGTATATAAATATTTGTTGTTATTCCATTATTAAATTCCAAAGTTAGGAAGGATCAATCTTAAAATATTTTTGTGGTGTTGGTTAATTTTGAGAGTAGGTGATAAGTAAATATTACTTAAAGTGCTATTTAAAGGTATTGAAAGTCAGTAAGACATATGCTGTGAAGAGCCTGAAGAACTGGCTTTTATCTGGCAACACCAGTGTGAGCTGCTATATTATAGCTCAGTGCTGGTCTGTACTGGTGCCTGTTAGTCCACAGTAATAAATGCCTTCTCTGCCACTGTGGGTGGAAGGACCTGGTTTCATCATATTTACCTGTGGCTTGCACTCTCTGTGTAATCCATGGAGAAAGACAGGCATCTTGAAAAAGTAGCTCAATATACCCGAGATCTAATGATGTTTTGAAAAAAATATTTTTTTCCATTAGCTATTGAAGAAATATTGGACAACAGTAGATCAGCTGTGCTTTAGGTCAGTTAACGTCACTAACAGGGAGAGTATCCTGGTATGACCTAGAACAATATATTCCAAAAAACTGGGGATGTTTCCTCTGATGAATATGAGTAGGAGAAAAAATCAGGCTGTACCAACTCACATGGGTGAGGTGTGGGAATGCTTCTAGGTGAGCAAGGCTAGTGCAAGACTACAGGCATGCTGTTGGTTCCCTGGGTACATTTTGCAATGTAGTCAAGCTGTTGTGTACACTGAAGAATCAAAGACTGAGAGTATGGTGAGTTTTGTGCTTAGCAATTGAGAGGGAAAAAAGGAAATGAGGAGGAAAAATTAATTGATGTCTGAATGGGATCAGATGAAGTATCTGATATGTTCTGATGTTATGCATTCAGATTTTAACTTTTACAAGGAGGATTACTGATTGCTGTCTGTTCAGGTTGATATTTCTGCTTTACACAGAAAATAAAATTGGTTTTCTTTTATTACATTAAATTCTGCTGTTCTTATATATTCAAATTACTGTAAATGTTTGAAGAGCCTCTGGTACACATCACAACTGTCCTCTTAGTTAATCAGATTTGTTCTGTGTACTAGGGTTATGCTAAGGTTCATTTATTGCTTTTTGTTTTACATGGATTATGAATTATAAATTATGGATGATGGAATCTAAATTATGCCAGAGACACTTGTCTGTGCTTTTATTCTGAATAGACGTATGTGATCACAGAAAAGACAGGACAGCCTGGGAATTCACATGCTGAGCAATATTTGGTTCTGTGTATAACCTCTGCATTACATTTGGTGAAAATGTTAATTAATTTTTTTAATTGCAGTTGTTATTTCTGTGCCTGCCAGCATGGTCAATTGTTAGGGCTTTGGCGATCATAAACATAGGGGGGAAAAAAATAGATTAGAGTCATGTTGTTCAAATTACAGAGTTAATTATGTAGGGGCTAGATATTACAGCTGAACATCATATAAATGTTCGGTACTTAGATTTCATGACCATGTGCGCACTGAATACAGTATTTCTTTATTTTAGGAACAATAATTTCTTTATAGGACTTGCAATGTAAATTGCTATTAAGTTGAACTAACATCATTGGATTCTGTTCCACCATGAACAGAACCAAGGGTAACCTGTGGCTTCTGCCAAAACTTTTATTTCAGTGTCAAGTCAAAGATTATTTTTCATACTGTGTTTTGAAGTTCAAATTTGCTCTGACTTGAAGGAATATGTAACTGCTGCACATAGGCTAGTCTCTTTTTTTTTTGGAGAGGCCCAAGAGGCAGGAGTACAACACTGTTAATACAGTAAAGGCTCATACAGCATTGTCTGCTTTATGCCAAGTGTTTTCCTCTTAGCAGATGTCATTTCAGTTTATTCTAAGGAGTATAGTTCCACTATGCAGGGGCATATAGAAAACCGTAAGAAGTTGTGAGCCATGAGAAGACCAGAGATAAATGAGCCCTCTTTAGGTGTAAATCACTGACTGCAGTGGAGCGAGATTGATTTTAATTATCCAAATTTCTGGCATAAATGTTTTTATTCCTTTTAAATAAATCTAGGGTAAACAGAAATCTGTTTTAACAGTCATGATTTGATTAATGTAAAAATAAACCCACAAAATCATTAATGTCAAAATACCTGCTTTATTTTTCTTCTTTTATGTCTGTTCACAGAAATGGATATAAATTTTTGTATTGCTCAGCACGTGCTATTGGAATGGCAGACATGACCAGAGGATACTTGCACTGGGTCAATGAACGAGGAACTGTGCTGCCTCAAGGGCCAGTGTTGCTGAGTCCAAGCAGCTTATTCTCAGCTTTTCACAGGTACTGCAATGTCACTTTTATGCAGAAAGAAACTCGGAGGTTGGTGGAGGCTGAATTCTCAGCTTTTTTTTATGGGAGTGCTTGAAATAATTCATAATGTTTTTCTTGCATACTGGTGCAAAATTTAATTAAGAAGAAATTTTGTTAGAGAAAGACCAAAATTCGATAGTCACATTGCTTAGTTTATCTCATAGACATGCCTCAATAAACACCTGTGTTCACTGTTTACCAATAGGTACTGCCTGTTGATTTCATGTGATTTCATGTTAACATGGTGTGTTAATATTTAGCTATGGGAAGAATGTTCACATATTAATGACAGTCACTCTTGTATTGACTTGTAAGGTGTTCCAATTGGCATAAATACTTTTTGTGGAAGAATGTTACTTGGTAGGTTTTGAAGAAATTCATGTGAAAAAGAAATGAACTTTTGAAGAAATTCATGTGAAAAAGAAATGAACTTTTTATACTCCTGACTGCACTGTCGTATTCTGTGTGGACAATGTTGTTCTTTCTAGGTGTTGAACTGTAATAAGTGAGTAATAATAGCACAGATTATGAATATCGTACCTTCTTCCTAATTCAGTGAAGCATGTCAAGTGATTACTGAAAATATTTTAAGCTGTTAAAAGCTGCTGTGACAGGATATATTTCATTAGAATTTTTAATGGAAGGTTGTTCTGATTGACATGCTACAGGCTGTCTTAGCAGTAGTGTTCTAAATATAAGAGACTGGAAGTACTACAGTGCACTACTTAGCCTGATTAAATAATAAATGCATTGAAAGGGTAGTTACTGTTATCTTACGCTCCTCATATCTAGAAATATATTTAAAGTGATACTTTTTTGGTATCTTGTTTAGCCTAAAGAATGCCCATCTTTCAGTGTACGTTATAATAACTGCTGTGATGTGTGGGCAATAAATGACTTCACTGTTATCCATAGATTTAATTACTGTGGTTTTGAAGGCTTTGAGATCAGGTGTATGTGAGACCGAGGAAAGATGGTTTTATTCCTCTTTTGCACATTCTCAAACTTTGATTTATACATGGAGCTGCTGTCCCAAAGGGCCGTATTACTCCTATGAAGTTTCTGTACTATTCACATATCTTCCTTGACATATGTGTTGGTGCTAGGATGTGAGATTCTGAGGTTCTTAAGTGCTTTTGTGTCATGCTGGCATCTTGCTATGTTATGGGAACTCCAGACTCTGCCACCTGTTCAGCCTCCTTGCCAAGAGAAGCTGTTTTGAAAGGGCTTTTGCCCAGAGATAAGATGGCTCCTCTGTTCATTAATGAATTCTGCATTCTGTAAGGAGCAACTGAAGAGAAATAGACAATTGCTTTATTCCTTAACTTCTGCTAATTAGCAGTGATGGAGGACCCTGACTGTAGAAGTATCTTAACAGGCTGAGGTGCTTCTAGCACTTACAGTAATTGTAATCCTTTTTTTTTTTTTTAAAAAAAGCAGTTTGCTTGATGACAATTTATGTCTCATAAGGCTTTATTTAGCAGCTACTCCCTGTAATCAGCCATCCTTGCTCAGTACCATCCTTACAACATAGGTTTCAATATAAGTTCCCTTGTTTCAGAGGATTTATTTACTGTGCCCAGTTTGTAAGCTTGGGAATGCTATTTTGTCTTCATGGGCACTGTGATTTCCAAATGAAGATTTATTGGAGAAGGGTCGGGGCTCTGTAGGAGTATCCAGCCAGGTGGAAATACTGAATAAAGAAAATAAAATGGTTTGTGCTGTATTTCATGTGTACTTATTCAGCCTCCCTCTTTTATCATTTCAGGGAGGTGATAGAAAAGAAGCCAGAAAAATTTAAAGTTCAGTGTTTGACAGACATCAAAAATTTGTTTTATCCTAACACAGAACCCTTTTATGCTGCTTTTGGAAACAGACCTGCTGTAAGTAATAGCTGAATTTATTTCTGTTGCATAGAACAGAAACATTGCTGTTATTTCATGGTTCTGTTACATTAGAACCTAGAATCTTTAAATGGGAGTTAAGAATACTTTATTAGGCCTTGTACAAAGGAAAATATAAAGGTTCTTCCTCAAAGATCTCACACTGCAGGATGCAAACAGAGATGGAATAGCAGTAAAGTAACTATGCTATGTCTACATAAGTTAGCATAACAGTAAATAATGGTTGAAATCTGAACTAAAAATCCTTAAGCTTGTGTGAAAACACTGATCTCATTTTCCTCCACACTGATACAGCATCAGTGAGATACCTGTGGACAGACAGAAAATTTTTCAGATGAATATTGGTGGGACTTACTCTTCAAACTCTTAAGTACATTCAAAGAAGTTGGATGTCCCACTGAAATCAAAAGTTTCTACTTTGCATGGAAAGTGATATGTTGTTTGACACAGAGAGGGGAAGACAGATCTCCATCACCAATTTAAAGGCTGTATAATTGGGCTATAGGCTTTTCTTACTCCTGTCCTAGAGCAAAGAATACTTCTATGCATACAGAAAAGGAAACAGTCTCGGGGGTTAGGGCAGAGGAGGGGACCCTGGCATGTGATTATCCCTTCTTTTAAACTGTTAGTTAACATGATCCAAGAGACTCTTTTGGCACAGGCAGCTAGCAGTCTTCCAGGCAATTTCTGGATAGGATTGCTGTGTTAGCTTGGGGCATGCACTCTTTGCAGTGGGCATTTGATATAGCCATATTGGTGGAGTGTGTATGTGGGGGTGTGGAGAGGTTGGTTTGGGTTTTTTTGAGGGGAGGGGTATAGAGACTAATAATTCTGACACAATGTCAAGAGATTTCAAAGTCTGAGAATAGGTACTCGCACTGTTTAGTTTACTAGTGTAGATAACATTATAGGCGCCTTTGAAATCTTTGAAAGCATCCTGCTGTCAGAAGGGTATATATAGAAGACCTACTTCAGATGTTTACAGTTTCACTGGGTACCTGAATTTAGATGCTAACTAAATTAAGCAGATGGGCCCCCTATTTGTGCCCAGGAGCCCCACAGAGCATTTGGTACTTCCTCCAGCTCTGTATTGTCAGGTAGTATGTGCTGTAGAAACTGACGTGTGGTATAGTAATGTGTAAGAAGTAACCTAGTAACACCAGTGTGGGGTTCATGGCTAAGGACCATTGACATGAAGCTTGAGTGTATCCATGCTGTTTTGGAAGCTAAACCCACTTAATTATATGCCTGTATCCTGGCCATGCCATTAGGTCTTAAGAGAATGGTCCTTGACTCTTCCTATTTCCTAGTAGGATTAGCAAGAGATCAGTTCAGTTGGTTACCTCTTTCTTTAGTTGGTGGAGAGAAATGGGACATGTCTGGAGGGTAATTCAGGTGCTAGGTGACCATCTTTCTTCACTGACTCCATGAGGGTTAAAGGCTTCCTGCTGAAGCACCTGAGGACCATGGATTCCAGCCCTAGCTGCTCAGTGCTGTAAGAGCTGAGATACATTCACTAGGAGAAACATTGATAGCTTGGGGAAATTATCAGTATAAATGCGGGCACTGGCCATTGCCAGTGTGAATATGAACATTCAGAGACTGGGCAGTTTAGATGCCTAAATTTTGGATAGAGGTCCCTGGCAAGATATTTCGGCACGAAAACCATGGATGTTGTAGCTCCATTTGAGAGGATTCAGCATGCCTTTCTTTGTTCCTACATTTGTCTCATTTTTGTTAGAGTTGCTGACATTTATGAGCATCAACTTTTTCAGCTTCAGTTTTAGCAAATTACATTTTTAAAAGCATTATGTCAGAGAGGACAGGAGGTCCACTGTCCAATTGCTATATTAAGTTGTTATGTAATACACAGTTTACTTTCCATTATTAAGGTACCTTTAGACATACACTTCTGAAATAACTTTTTAGATGCTTTTGTGGTTTTGTATTATGGATGATGTCTACCTCTAGTTCCATTTTTTTGAACTTCAGGGAAATAAAGTAATTATTTTCACGTATGTTTCAATAACATATCAAGTAAAGCAGTAAGTTAACATTTCTAAAGGAATTACTGGTAACTCACTCCTCTGATCGCTGTTGGAGTGCAGTCTTTAGGTGTGAGATGTGCCACTGGCTTTGTGAAGATCAGGACCATCGCTTTCTTGATTTTCTGCGCTGCTTGGTTTGGTTTGGGTTTTTTGTGTGTCGTGTCCATGTCCCGTGTCCCGTCGTGTCGTCCCGTCCTGTCCCCCCGTATCCCCCCCTCTTTCACCCCCAAATAAACTCAGTGAAATTTCAGTAGTCATGGATGTTACAGGTGTAGATAGTGCATAGACTGCCAGGATGCTGAATTCATGAAGTGATGGCTGTTTGCTTTTGTTCAGGTACTTAATTATTTTTTGGACCAGTCTTTACAATATAAAGATAAAAATAATCTTTATATCTTCATTAATATTCCAATCCTAGAATCATAGAATTGTTTAGGTTGGAAAAGACCTTTAAGATCATCAAGTCCAACTATTAACGTAATACAACCAAGTCCACCACTAAACCAATTAAGGGTAGAGTCATAATTAATTTCATGTTTCTTGGCTTGGTGGCTGGATTATTTTTTAATGAAAGTGAAACTAGAATAGAAACACTAAGGTTGGAAAGTATCTCTAAGATCATCAGTCCAACCATCAACCCAGCACCACCACTAAACCATGGTTTAGCTCACTAAACCATGTCCCCAGGTGCCATGTTCTACATGTTTTTTTGAACACCTCCAGCTATGGTGACTCCACCACCTCTCCGGGCAGCCTCTTCCAATGC